GTGGCTGTGTATTTAGCACACTGCATCGGGTGAGAGATGACAATGGGTTTTTTTTTTGGGGGGGGAATCTCTCTCTTTGGTGAGTTGATCTGGATAGGCAGCCAGAGAAAAGTAGATTACTGTGCATTACTACCTTGGGGCTTGCACCTACAGGTAAGACTGTCATAGAAAGCGTTAATTCTTCCTGTTTCTTTCCTTTACTTCCTTTTACCTACTTCCTCTTTAGAGTCAAGCACTGCTTTTGAAAGTGTGTGCCCTCTTGAGTTCATCACCGTCTTTGTCTCATCATCCTAGTCAACAAATGAACAGCGAGACTTTTCGTTATTGTTTTATTTAGCTTGTAAGCAAGCATACTATTGTTTCCTCTCTGTCTTACCAGCCTAACTACCAAACTGTTCTCTGAGAAATTTGTTAGAAAGGTAGAAAAAGTGCAGCTTCTTATGAAGGAAGGAAATCTGGAGTCTAATATTGATTCTGATTCTGACTAGTTGTGTGTTTTAAAACATGCTTTTGGTTATTACTTATTTAAGCACCAGGGTGACAATAAACTTTATTGTCTATTCTGGGATACCATTATATTGATAGGGGACATAATAACAGAAAGGCATTAAGCATAAACCAGAGTAGCCCTGGGTAAGCTGACCTATGATAACCCTTTTTATCAATGATCTGCCTTTTAGAGCCTTGACCTCAGGGGAAATAGGTCAGCTAGAAACACCTCACTCCCAGCCTTTAGCAAACTCTGTTTCCTATAGTATGATTCTAAGTATTACTTACATGAGAATAAAAATTTTCATAGTGGGAAGGATAAAACTGAAAAACTGCAGACCTAAAGAAACAACTTGCATTTTTTTTTGGGCCAAAATTTTATTTTGTCATAGAATTTAAGTATCTAGAACTTCTCATTCTATAAGTTTGCTATCTATATTAGGTCTTTTTTTGGTTTATAGATTAGGAAATTATTATTATATTTTTAATTGAATCATCATATTACACAAGTTACAAAGTGTTTCAAACTTGATGGAGTTTGCTTTGAGAGAGACATTTCACCAAGGAGGGCGAAATGAAGGCACAGTTCAAAATGTGACCAGTCCTTGGAGTGGGGATAGGGAACTGATGCTCCATTGAACTGAGAGTCAGGGTGTCCAATACTGAGGTTTATGTACCACTTTTCAAGTATAGCGATACGCAAATGGCAATTCAATTCAAATGGCAATTTCTAGAATTTTCTGCTGTGTGTCTGTGAAGAGAGAAAAAAAGGGAATGAAATAGTGTGAAAACAGGTAGAAACACAGAAACAGAAACAAAAGAGGTTTACACTGAATTTATACAAATCTGTAGCTTGATTTGAAAACAGAAAGCTAATCTATGCTAATTTCCACCAGTTTAATTTTTCTCTAGATTATTTTTTTTTATTTTCCTTTACTGAGTATCTCACCCCCTTCCACCCAACTTTTTCCTTTCTCCTATGTATACCACGGACCTAGTTCAAGACTAAAGTTCCAAACTCTTTAAAGTCAGGACATTTTTCTTTTATTGGACTAGAGCACCTAGAACGCTATCTAATACAAAGCACTGTAGCACTGTCCTCCGGTTGTTCATGGATTTGCTCAAGCAGGCACCAGTAATGTCTCACAACAAATTGTGAGACTTGTTGTTATTCTGTTTGGGATATTGAATACATCACGGGTAGCTTGCCAGGCTTTGCCATGTGGACAAGATACTCTCGGTAGCTTGCCGGGCTCTCTGAGGGGGTGGAGGAATCGGACCCGGGTCAGCCATGTTGGCTGTGTGCAAGGCAAACACCTTACCCACTGGGCTATTGCTCCAGCCCAACACATAGCAGGTTCTCAAAAAAATGCTGCATGATTAAAAGATTAATTAAATGGAAAAAGGTATGATGTGAAAAGAAAGCAGACCATTCAGAAAAAATGCAGAAAAAAGCTATAACCTAATCACTGTCATCCTGTTGTTCATCTATTGCCTCGAGCAGGCCCCAGTAATGTCTCCTTCGTCCTAGCCCTGAGATTTTAAAAAGTGCCACATTCGAGGCTCTTTCAGGGTCAGGAGAATGAGACCAATCATTGTTACTGGTTTTGGGCCCCCTCCTCCAAGGGGCCCCGGTGAGGTCAGCCAGGCGCGGAGGCAGGAGACTCTGCGCTGTTCTCTTCCAGGAGCAGGGTTTTATAGTCTCTGTATCTTGGCCGTTTGATGGGACTACATGTAATCCCAATAACCTAATAGCTACATGTAAGAGATATATGACATCCTTCAAACTCAAATTCAGGCTTCATTACAGGATCTTAGGACCACCTGATCCCCCTTCCTTATACCTTTTCCCTTTATAACTTGCATGCACCTCTTATATCTAGTATTTTATTTTTTGTTTTTGTTAATTTTCTTTTCTGGAACCTCAGAAAATAAGAGAGGGATTTATATTCCGTTTTTATGAATGCCAACTTGACAATTTATAATAGACTGGGAAGCTTACAAATAAGGAAGAACTATTTTTGCAGTTGTAAAACCTGCATTTCTAGGACCAGGATGTCACCATTGTTAGATTTTGGTGAGAGTCCTCTACTACCTTTGTGGAAGGCCTTTTTTATTTTTTTCATTGTATCTTCACATAGCATAAAGAAATGCCCTATATCCTATCTCTCGTCAGTACCTTCAAAAAGGGGTACTATCTGTAAATAAAGAATCCTCTCTTAGAACCTCATCACCTCCAAATGTCTCTCTCTTTATCACTAACACTTGTGGTTTAGGGAATCAACATTAGAGGAGAGAACAGACTTTCAGATCATTTAGCCTCTTAATTTCCATTAAATTTAAAATAGTTTCTGGAATGAACCTAGGGAAGACTGTGATAATAACAATATTTTCAGAAGGATGGATGTCTTTGTTTATGTCTTTATTCTGCGACTGTGGGGATATTCAAATGCCTGGTTTATTCTTGTGATTTTCGATGGCATACATATAACCTACATCTTTTTAATTTGGAACTTTGAAACAGCAATGGCAGTCAAGGGTGATAATAAAATTAGTTCACATTTATTGGGTTCTTACTACATGACAAATGTTTATGTCAGCAATTTATATGAAGGGTCTTACTGCAGTTTTACAATTTTTCTGATATTGCACATTAAAAACCATATTAGGGATAAAGTCATGGCTTGCATTTCCACAAGAAAAATACAATTGGAAAGAGACAAAGAACTATGTCCTTAGTGGACCACTTGGTGATTTAGTAGAGGCAGGAAGGATGGTGTGATAAGAACTAAGATGAGTGTCCATTGCTTCTTTCATTTTCAGTTTTCTTCGTCCTTCAGTGTCAAGGTAAATTATGCCTTTTGAAATTAATTCTTGGATTCTCTTACCTTGCATTTACTTGTCTTCCTTAAATCATGAAATCATAGCCTGAATAGAAGGCCCATTAAAGTCATCTTATCCATATTCTCAGACCTGGTGATATTAAAATAAAATCATTTAATATGTTCTTAAATTACTGTGTTTTGTCCATGATCCATATAGAATTCTGGACAAAAATGCAGGATATTTTAATTCCCCAAACAGTTTTACAATATACTTTGTATTTTTTTTAGATTATTCACAGATTTGCTATACTTCTGAAGAATAATATTAAAAACATGGCGATTTCTCAAGGTATAACAAAAGGTCAGGCTTAGAATAAGTACATCTTTCCAAATTTATTATAGATGTATGCCAAATAAAAATCTTTATTTTCTAGTTAATGCTAATGTAGAACTTTTAAAGTGTGTAATCTTAGTTGACAATATTACATAAGTTATATAGTATTTTTAAACTACTTGCAAATTTGTCCTGTGGATTCTAAGAATAAAACAATTGCCTTCTTTCTTCCCATTTTTTTTTAGAAATAATTTTATTCACTTAGTATTAATAATAAAGGTAAACAGAATTTCACTAATAATACCCTCCTAAAAATGTAAGGTTAAATGTAATCTATGTTCTTCTATTCTGTACCCTAATCAAGCTTTTAATCATTCATATCATACATTACCTCTCCTAGATATACTGTAAGAAAAATTACAAATTTAACAATTTTTGAGAGAATGAAGATGCTATTTGCTAATCATCTGTTTTATATACTAAATCTGCAGAGTGTGGCACAATGCAGAAAAAAAAAGCTGTAATTGTTTTGGGAAATGCTCCAGAGACACCAGATAGACATCATCTACAATAAATTATTATGACTTCCATTTCCTTGTTGTTTCTTTATATATTGTAATTACAGTATTGATTATATCTGAAGGATTAGTCCATGACTAAGTGAACACAACCTGCTTTGCCTAGTTAAATCAACAAACACTACACATTATTGATTTCTAACATTTTGTAGCAATTAGTAAACAGAAGAAGGAATCACACATTCTGAATTTATGTTTATGTATTTTGGATTTATGAGACTTGTTTCATGATAATGTGAACCTCATCTTTCCAATGCAGATGAAATGCTTCTTTGTGTTAGCAGTTCATTGAGGTCAACATTCAGGCTGTTTCATTTATCTGTTTTTGTCTGGTAGTAACAGTAAAGAGGAAGACTCTGATTGAACTGGTTTTATCATTCACATTTCTATTCTGCTAAAAATCATTAGACACTACGTCAATTTAATAACTTGCTTAGTAGAATTTCCTTAAGAAAAGCCTCAAATCATAATCATTGTATTATACACCTTTATAGCAAGAAAGTATAAGCTCAAGTTTCAGATTCTTAAAAAACAGTGGAACATTTGATAGATTGATTATTTTATAATTTCAAAGAGAATGTGCTCATAAATATTAGTACATTGGAGAAGTATATTTGTTTAGTTTGTCTTTTTTTGTTTTGAAGATTAAAAATGTTTTAAATTATTTAGTTCTGTTTAAATTGGAGTCCTCTCAAATAAAACATTTAATCCAAACTAACTCTTTGGCAGAAAGAAAAAAATGTTTTAATGCAACACGCAAACTTTAACAAAAGTAAAAATACGAAAGACTTCATGAATTTGCATGTTCCCTTGTGCAAGAACCATGATAATTTTCTCTCCAATATTCCTATTTTATTATATGTGCTACTGATAAGCATAGGAAGAACTTTTCTTAATACAGAACTTTTTTATGAAAAATTCAAAAAAGACCATAAAACATCTCTTTCAAATCATTGATTCACCACTTATTTCCATACTCTAATGTTTCACTAGAAGTTCAAGTATCTCTTTATGTTCACTAATTTTCACTTCATTATTCTAAAAAGTCTTAGAATAATCTTAATCAACATACTTAAGGTAGCAATGAACTAACAAGTAATTTTGAGTCAAAGTCAGGTTTAGTATAATAGAAAACAGAACTTACTTAACAAAAAATACTGTGTGAAGTGGAGAAATAGTAAATTGCCTTGCGTATGGCTGACATAGGTTGATCTCCAGCACCACATATGATCAGCCGGTCTGCTGAGCACTACCAATAATGATCTCTGAACACATAGCCAGGTCTAAACTCTGAAATTTGAGCCATGGCTCCAAAATTATATATATAGTTTTACACACACACACACACACACACACATATATATATATATATGTACCTCTGGTAACATGTAGTTACCAGAGGACAGAAAGTAAGTTTTATGTAGGATTCTCCCACTACATGAGGCTTTTCCACTTAGACTATTTTCTTCTCCTGAACACTTGAATACTATAATATTCCCTTAAGTAAGACTAAGGATAACTGTCCTCCCATTGTACATCAATTTGCTCGAGTGGGCCCAGTAATGTCTCCATCTTGAGACTTTTTGTTATTGTGTTTGGCATATTGAATATGTCACAGGTAGCTTGCCAGGCTTTGTCGTGCGGGCAAGATACTTTCGGTAGCTTGCGAGGCTAACTAATATTCCTTTACAATGACCTATGGGCCTTTCAGCAGTTCTAAATCTTGAAGTTCTACAAGCCTCTATTTTTTTAGAATCAATATTAATGGATGCAATTTGGATATTCATACACAAATACGCACATATGCACACATGCATGTATAAACTTACAGACTTAGTTGGTAATTGCTAAGTTTCACTGATTAGACTTTTGAAAAGAAAATGTTCAATAAATAGAAAATGTGAACAAATGATGATGGATATTTCATATTTTACATAAATTGTACATTCAATAACTTAAGTTAACCATTTAATAGCACTGTCCTCCCATTATTCATGGATATGCTCTAGTGGGCACCAGTAACATCTCACAACAAACTGTGAGACTTGTTGTTACAGTTTTTGGCATATCGAATACGTCACGGGTAACTTGTCAGGCTTTGTCGTGTGGGCGGGATACTCTTGCTAGCTTGCCAGGCTCTCCGAGAGGGATGGAGGAATTGAACCCGGGTCGGCCAAATGCAAGGCAAATGCCCTACACGCTGTGCTATTGCTCCAGCCCAACGCTTTAATAAGAATCTAAGATATAAAAGGGCTGAACCAGTCGACATTCCCATCAGCAGTGAAGGAGAGTCTCTCACCACATCTGTACCAACACCGGTTGCTTTTGGTCTTTTGGATATGGGCCAGTCTCTGTGGTGTGAAATGATATCTCATCGTTGTTTTGATCTGCATCTCCCTGATGATTAGTGATGTAGAGCATTTTCCCATGTGCCTTTTAGCCATTCGGATTTCACTCCTGGTGGGAATGCTGACTGGTTCAACCCTTTTGGAAAACAGTATGGGCAATCCTCAAAAAATTAGAAATTGAGCTCCAATTTGACCCAGCAATACCACTCCCAGAGAGGCAAAAAGGTATAGTTGAAGTGACATCTGCACTTGTTTGTTCATTGCAACACTCTTTACGATAGCTAGAATCTGGAAAAACCTGAATGCCCAAGAAGAGATGACTGGTTAAAGAAACGTTGGTACATCTACACAATGGAGTACTATGCATCTGTTAGAAAAGATGAAGTCATGAAATTCATATACAAATGCTACTACATGGAAAGTATCGTGCTACGTGAAATGAGTCAGAAAGAAAGGGACAAACATAGAAAGATTGCGTTCATCTGGGGAACATAAAATAACAAAATAGGAGACTAACACCCTAGAATAGCTTAGATAAGTACCAGGAGGATTACTCCATGGCTTTGAGGACAGCCGCACACTCTAGGGGAAAAGGCAGCTCAGATAGAGAAGGGAGCACCAAATAAAGGGTGATAGGAGGTTCCTCTCAGGATGGGAACTGTGTGATGAGAGTAGACTATAGACCAAACAAGATTGCCACTCAATGTCTCTTTTGCAAACCACAACATTCAAAATGAGAAAGATAACAAAAGGGAATGCCCTGCCACAGAGGTAGGGTGGGATGGGGGCATGGGGGGAGGGAGGCATACTGGGACTGGTGGTGGTGAAGAATGGGCACTGGTGGAGGGATGGGTATTCGATCATTGTATAACTGAAACCCAAGCACAAAAATTTGTAAGCCTACAACTGTACCTCATGGTGTTTCACTAATAAAAATTTAAGAAAAAAAAGAATCTAAAATATATGAAAGTATATAACCTGCTAAACTATGAGTACAAATACATTTTGGATATAAGATTATAAAAGAATCCACTTATAAATTATAAAATATCATTCAAATAAAAATAGATATGTATTTATTATTTGAATTATATTAACAGATAAAAAGACAGATTACATGATGAATACATACATACTGAATGAAAATTCTTTTCTATGGCTCATGAGATTACATGAAGCATTTCAAAAAATAAAATAGTAGATTTTATTTTTTTTCTAGTAATAGTAGATTTATTTTTTTTAAGTACGTTTTAAAGCACTGAATTCATTTTGCTTAGCACTATTATGAAATAACTATTTTTTTAATGCCCTGGCTTAACTATAGCTGTATTAGAGCTACTCAAAAATTTCTGAAAGAGTACATGTATAAAAATTGTTAGATCAAAAGTGAAATTCGAGTACAATGGCATCTGTGTGAAGAGGAAATTTGGGGTGATTAAGGAGCAGTGTAGCCTTAATTCCATTTTGATAGAACAGTGACTTCAGAATCCATTACTCTAATCATGACATTTCAGTGCTAAGAAGCCTGCAAGTGCCGTGAGCACATATGTATGTGTTTGACTGTCCATTGTATTCAGCATGGTGAATCAGGAATTAGGGAGTGTTAGTAATCCAATACAGGCAGCAAAACCCTGGGGTATCAGTTATCTCCAAGGCCTGTCAAAGAGTATACTATTCAGAGGGACACTATGCAAATAATGGAAATTAGGTCAGTGTGTTAGAGAATTAATTAGAATCATTTCTGTCTAAGAATCAGAATATGCTTTCTAAAGACATTTCAGAGACTGTGGGAATTTTTTCTTAAGTAAGCAGAATGAAGATTTGTGTGAGGGCAACCTTTAAAGACTGAAGTCCCTGTTTCAAGTGTAAGAAAACCCACAGATTTTGTTTATTCAGGTAAATAGTGACCAACCAAAGCTCCGAGAGCAGAATACTGTCCCCACTAAATACTGGGTGAAGGTAGCATGTGGCAAACAGGCATTGCTAATCCCTTTGAAGGGATGGGATAAACTAAGCAAAATGATAAAATTTAAATTTTATAATAAGGCCTTAGTAACCTTTCCCGCCTGCTAGAAACCAGCTTCCTCAAGAGTCGGAGGCTGAGACGGGTCTCAACTTGTTCAACATCAGGGACCAAATCAAGCCCTTGGTGATTTTCATCAGCTGTCAGGAGTGCCCAGATATTTTTGCAGGACCAGGCAGGAAATTAGGCTATTAAATTACAGCCTTTCTCTGAGAGGCCTGGCCATGCTCCTCCCCCTTCCTACAGATGTTCTATCAAAGCAAGTCATTGTGGCCATTTATCTTGCCAAACTTAAAATACCTTCTCCAGAACGAATTTCTCCCTCAGTACTTGAGGTCTTTGTGCTCTCTGTCTTGCTTCCCTGATCTTGTATGGATCTAAGATTAATTTGCACTAGCTAGGAGTGTAACAACAAAATCAATTTCAATTGGGTCAGATGGGGTCACTTCGGGCTCAGTAGTGTGAGGAAAGAAATAGATGATTATCATTCTAGAAGCATAAAGCTAAGGTTCAGAATAAGGAGAGAGCGGAAGCACATTCCCATAAAAGCAATAAATAATTTTCCCAAAGCATCAGAAGCAAATAGAAATTGGGCTTATTTTCCACCAGAGTTTCCTGAAACTATAGATAAGCAGGTAAACTATGCCTTTACAAAGATGCAGAAAATTATCAAATAAGATTTGATATGTCATTGGCAGAACTGTATCAGAACTCTGTGCCCTTGTTACTGGTATGGCCATATATGGGGCTCCAATTCTGCCCTTAGCTTGCCCGATGCTTAAATTGCACACACACTCATTTTGTAGAATATTCTTCTGCATTCAACAGAAAGCATATTAAGATAAGAGTTTTCAGCAAATCTCCTGAAAACAAAATACACTGGTTGTATTAATGTTTTTCTGTCACAGAAATGTAGATCAGCGTAAAAGGCAGTCAGAGTGTAAATTGCAACCATCCTGAGTATTTTCTTTGCTTACTGAGATTAAAAATGAAAAATAAGAACAAGACTTTCAGATTCATATACAACAACTTCAAAGCCAAAACTGTTTAAATGTATCAGTAATGTAGAAATTATTACTTGTTATATTTTACTTATCTAGATTAAAAATAGATAGTAAAAATAATGTGAAGTTACATTATGCTAGATATTAAGAGTAACAAAAGAATCAATCACGAGTCTTGTTCTCAATGAGCTGTGTCAGAAGATTCTGTATTTAAGTTTAGATCATGAATTAATAAAGTAATGTCTTTTAATTAAAAAGTAAGCATATGTGGGATGGAGAGATAGTACACTGGGTAGGATTTTTGCCTTGCACACAGCTGACTTAAGTTCTAACACTATATTACAGTCTCTGAGACTTGTCAGGAGAGATCTCTGAGGATAGAGACAGATGTAAGCCTGGGTGTGACCCCAAAATTAAGAAAGTAGATAAATGCATTTAAGTATACAAAGGATTATTGCAGGTAGCATTTTGTATTATTTCATTTCTATAAGCTGAAGAGATTG